TGTGAGTCAAAAGAGTCGCAGTGCAGAATGGGCTTATTAAGGTAAATGTATTCAATTATGATGATGGTTAGGATGGTTGGCATATGGGAAAACTTCCAGGAGCCAGAAGCCACAGTGCCATCACTTCGCTTGAACTTGTGTTATTGGAACTGGTCAATCTTACTCACAGTTTAGGGGCACTCATCCTGCAATACGATCTACAGTCTCTGGCTAATTGACTCCGTGAGTGACTTGGAGTGACGTGGACTTAACCTTACTTAACTTAGTTGTATGTGAAGCTGCATAGACCAAGTTAGCTTGGGAGGACACCTGGAGGTCACCTAGTCCAATTCCTTGTTCTAAGCATGGTCAACTTCTGAGCTAGATGAAATTGATCTAGTTTTGAGGGAGAAGAGGAAAGGGAAAAGAACTTGTTTAGAACTGTCTTCATTTTGTGCTGTAACCACAAAATCACAAAATGAAAGATGAGTGCATTACTGCTTCCTACCTGAAACTGCTGGGGCTTCTATGATCTGTGTTGACTTATATGCATGAAAAGTATACCTGGAGCATACCCACTAAAACTGGTATTTCAGGTAACAGGGTTCCCAAGATTGTTAATACACAATTGGGTAAAGTCTGAGAGAGGTACTGAAAGATTCAGAGTGGCCAATAAGAAGGTAATTTTGACTCTGCACTGAAGTAGAAATTTAAAAGCCAGTAGAACCTCACCACTGAAAAGGTAAGCATGGTGGCCTAAGTACAATTAGCTATGTACCTATGAGCCTGGGTCCTACTGATTTGCAGACATCTATGTGACTAGGCAGCTGCTTTGAGAATTAGCCTGCTAAACTCTGCTGTTGTCCTGCTTTATGACTGCAATGCTTCTTACAGATCAGGGCTTCAGTTTCTATGTTACACTCATGCTTTTGTGAAACGAGGATGATAGCGTTACTCAGTCAGACAGGTCTATTGTAAGGTTAAAACTGGTGGTATGCTTGCATAAAATGATAAGGTGTGCTACAATTATGTAAGGGTATATAAACACACCTACACTGTGGCAGGTGATTGTTAATCTTAGTTTTCCAGATATGTTACTATTCTGAAGTGTCTGTCCAGTAAATAGCAGCTGATAGTGACTAAATGCCAGTATATATGTATATACAAGCAGACAGATAGATAGATATTTCTCTTCAGGAAGTGTGGTGTTCAATATCACACATTCCTAAGGGAAAGAAATTGTTTGAAACACAGCTGGCCGTGCAAAGTGCAAAGCACATGGAATGTGCAGGATAGTGCACCTAATTCTTGATAAAAAAGGAAGAATTGTGTGATAGAGAATGAGCAGAAGACTAATTTTAATCCCAAAGGGACTGGAAATAGGACAGAGGTACAAAAGCAGGGAAAACATATATTTAAAATATTTTAAAGCATCAAAAGGCAGTAGGATGCATACACAGTTTTCCTTCTGGGAAGAAGACATCTAATGAATGTTGGCCATATCACTTAGTGCACTGCTGAAGCCACTAGGACTCCACAATTAGCTTAGAAATGAAGAATAGCATAAACAATAATCTGGATTTCTAGCAGGTTAAGACTCCAAGTAAAGGTACTTTATTGTAATCTGTAACCTGTAAATTAATGTACTGTAAAAGGAGAAAACCTTTTATTATTGATAGTGATCATCTTGTCCACAGGTGTTTTCAGAGAAAAAATCCCACGCATTTAACTGTTCATTCACATATAGTTCACTAATCATTATGGTACAGGTGAGATTATATCTGGAATTAATCTCTATGATTCAGCGACAATATTCTAGTATTTTTAGTCAAGTTTGGCTTTTAGCCAGGAAATAGATAAGATTAAAACCCGCATATGATCTAGTGTTACATTTATTTGGGAAGGGGAAAAAAAAAAGATTTACTTTTCATTTGTTTATAAGCACAACCAGGAAAGCTAACTTTAACTCGGTAGTTCTTATTTTATGGATGAAAGTAGAAAATAATCTTAGTGCAAAAAGCAGATGTCTTTTTTTTTCTTTCTTTCTTTGAAGCTTTGTGTTCTTTGACTTCCTTTTTCCTTTGGCACAAATTTTCTTAACCCTTTTTTCAAGGGCAATTATAGTCTTGAACTGCAACACTTATTGCTGAATTGGAACAGCCGAGCAGGAAGGGGTAAGTCAGAATGAATTAAAATGATTTCATAGAGCACACACAAAGCCTTTGTGTCCTAAAGAACGGTTGAATAAATAGCGGATATTTGCTTGCTGAATAAAAAATAACACTAAACAGCCTTGAACACTCTCTGGCTCCCTTACATTCTCAGTATCAAGTGCTAGGATGTACCCAGCACCAATATATAGTTTTGGGAATTCAAAGCTCCTCTGTATTTTGCTAGTTAGTCTGAGTTTTCAGTGGTTTACAACTGAACAGTTAAAAATTAGTGTAATATTTTAGATGTAGATTTTTTTGCTGTCGCAAAGATTTTGTCCCCCTCACTTTCCCTTCCCATTGTTACAGACAGCTTGTGTCAGGACAGTGGCAAAGACCTGAGTTCAAGTCCTGAGGTAATTTCCTGGATTCTGGCACTAGTCATGGCCAAAGATAAACACTCTATCTCTAAAGTCTGTATTTTGCTTCTGTTTGTTTACTGTGGAACTGAAGGTGCTCCTGGAAAGCCCCCAAATGGCTGGGAGAAGGACTTTTTTGGTCCTAAAATAGGGATGGGGAGGAAGGACCAAAAGACATTACTGAGCAAGCCCCACTTCTGTTAACCCACTTTTTGTTAAATATAGATGTGTGTAAATCAGGAATTTGAATTTAAGATAATTTTGTTCATGAGGAAAAAAAATCAGCTGATTAACCCTATAAATATTTAGCGATTATTAGCTCTATTTATATCTTAGTCTCTTATTTCCTAGTCTGTCACAGCTGACATGTACTGCAAACTTGAATAGCCATAAAAGCCTCAAATCATCTATGTCAGGATCACTAATGAGTGATTAATATAAGTATTCAGACTATTGGGAGAGCCTGTGTACTTTTGAAAACATTTTCTGTAAGTATTTGACCCTAATGCTAAATCATAAAATAACAGTTCTGGAAGCATCCCTGCTCTGGTAAAGAAGTTTCTTAACACAAGCATTAAGTCTTTTGAGATCTGTGTGCATATATTTGAGATAACGTAGTTTTAAAATATTATATATGGAATGACTACATTGCAATAAAAAGTAATTATTATGCATTTATGCATACCACATGTACTTTATAAAACTGGTGGGAAGGAATTTTTCCAATTATCATTCACATGCATGTATAGAAAAAATATTTTTTCCTCTGAAAGCCATAAAAACCAAGAAAATTCCAACACTGCTACATAAGCAAGATGCTTTGTGAAGTTTATTATTGGTCATTGTTTCCTGAGTATTGATAAACATTCTATGCACCACGTCTTCTACTACGTCTCTTAGGGAGATAATAATACAGTTCTGTATTCCTCTCTGTCAAGATAGCCTCCCAGAATTTTGCTGAAGACTTTTATGGGAAATGTATTGTAACATACAATCACAATTTGCAATGGGTGAAACTGTGTGACCCCACTTTTTACATTATCATATTCTCAGTTCATAATTATAAATATGGACTGTAATGATACCATCAAGCATGCACGAATTACCTGGAATTCATTCTATCTCTTTCCATCATAGAAACTTAAATGCAAAAGCAGTGCATTTTGATACAACTTTTCTTCTTGTCAGACATGAACTATCACACATTCTCTTATTTTTTGCCACATTTCCAAAATATCATTAATGATTAAATGACACTATTTACATGGCATTAAAAAGTAAAATCAAAGAGCAACAGAATATAAATCTAGGGTTAACTAATACATTACTTTTTCCCAGGGATTTTTTCAGTACTCTAATTGTCCACTAGAGAAGATTTACATCATTTCAGTGAAATGCAAGAACTGTGTTCGTTACTTTTTAAAGAAAATCTGTGCGAAGAAAAGCAAGACCAAAAAAAAAAAAAGATGTGTAAATAAAACTTTCCAAGTAGTATTGACAGCAGACTATGTTTCATACTGTCTCTTCAACAAATATTTAAATACCATTGAGGATGCTTCTCTTTTACATTTTACATTCTTTGCATTTAATTAATGTGCCTGAGATTGACATAAAATGGAGGTCATTGACTTGGGCAAGCATAAAGCAGTTGTAATGTTGGCTTTTAATTCGATTATATAAATACCAAAGCATAGACGGAAAGGTTAGTAAGAAACCTCCCCCAAAATTAAATATATTCCCCAAAGCTCTAAATCTATTGTATATGGAACTGAACAGAGACAAATCATATCACCATTTTTTCTTTTTTGTTGTTGAAGAAGCTTTAAAATTGCTGTGAACTTTTTAGTGTTTTCAAAAGGAGCAATAGTTAGCTGTTTGTACAAAGCACAGAGGAGTTGCCTGTATTTCTGTTTTCTTGCAAATAATTTTACAATTATTATTACAGTAATCCTTACTAGTATTGCCATTTTTTGTATATTTGCCAGTATGGTTTTTTTCCTCCAGAACTTGTGTATCTAAAAGTTTTTGAAGTTGTTTCTGACAATGGCTAGTAAATACAAAGACATACTTTACTACTTTCTCTTCATTTCAAGGATGACAGATTGTCTTTAACAATGTCAGCACTTAGATGTTTTTTCAGCTATTTTGTCCCTTCCATATATTTGTTTTTGAAATTGTATTTTTTCATAACAGAACATATGCAGGTAAATTGAAACTAAATGGCATCTTTTACAGAGATTGTAAAACCTGGGAAATACACATCAGAAATCTTGTGAACGTTTCCTTTTCCAACTTTATAGCAGTGTCAGTAATTGTACTGTCTCTAGCTGAATTGTCAAAACACCAAATACCAAATAAAGAATTCTGTAATGTGAAAATACCCTGATCTTTCAATTTTTTTTCCCAACATATGCAATATAAATTCATATAAACCTTTCATATATGAACTTACCTCTGCTTCCCTGAACTTGGAGAGCAAGGCAAATGATCAAAAATATTAATCCAGTTTTCAAATGCATACTGTCTATTGATCATTCACAGTTTTCAAGCTCAATCATGCAGGAAATAAGAATATTTAGTTCAAGTAGAAGAATTTTGTTTTCTTAAAGAAGTAAAATCCCCAAATGTCTTCCCTCTTATTATTTTTCAAGTGTCCCCAGCCTTGGGCTGCATTGAATTGCAACTAGGCAAAGAGTGCAACAGGTGCCAGAGTGCAAGAGCTGGACAAACCCCTCCAACGCACACACTTCTAGCCTGGGGGACTGGAGTGGTAAGACAAGAGTGACGAAGTTTTAAAAAAAAAGCAGTGTCTGTTTCTGGAATAATCTGTTTATCTGCTGCTCAGACATAATCCCTCTTACGGTCCAGCTGGAAGAGCTTTCTTCATCTTATTAACCTTCTGGAGCAGCATCTGTCAACCCCAGAAAACTTCAGTGGCACCATGATAAACAACGGAAGTCTCTTCTAGTTCCCATTGCCTTCCAATGTTGGTCCTTTGGGCTTTCTGGAGGTACGGCGTGTGAACAGAGGTGAAATCACGGGGAGAGCTAATTGTGCTATTTCCAAACCAGTGATCATAAAACCCAGGGAACTTACTTTGAAGAGGAAGACAGCTTTTTCTGAAAGAACATACTATACACAGCTTTTCCACTGCATATGTCTGGGAAGCCTCTCTCCCTTCTCACACCAAAAGGTTGTTGTTGCAATATTCTTATCAGAGCAGTGATGGTGATGTTCTGTGACAGCGGTGAAATGATGTGACTCAGCAGTAAATTGCAGCAGTGTTCAGGGCTGGCACAATCTGATGCCAAACTGGGAGTGGGGGAGGGAAGGTGCTGCATGGAGGGAGAATAAGAAACGGTGTTGAGAAATGCTGTTTCAAGCACATAGCTATAACCAGGCCAAGATTTGGCAGGGAGTGAATAAACTCTTCTAACAGCTCTGTTCCAGTTTCCCAAATAACTATTCTGGTTATGTATTTGGCATGTGTAAGTGTTCCATACTTACTTTTTATTTTCCAGAACATTTTTTAATGTTGCATTATACCTAAAAAAGCTACCAGGTGGGCATTTGTAACGGTCTGTCCCCCTTAGAGATTTTTGTGCAGCTGTGCTCTAAGGAAGTATCTAGACTGGCAGCAAGAATCTGTAAGAACAAGTTACTTTAAGAACAACCTTCATTTGAACCCAATCAGTATTCTATTTTTACTTAGGATTTAAACAATGGTAACCTCCCTCCCTTCCCGAGATTGCCTAATTTTAACTACTCAGACCAGCTAGTACAGAGACTGGGCTGGGAACAAACAAGATCTGCTTTTTTAAATTTTCACAATCTTTTTCTGATTTTCAGTGCTCATTTATGCGTTATGCATATTGTTTTATTGTTCTAACGGTCATGGTTTAACCCCAGCCAGCAACTAAGCACCACACAGCTGCTTGCTTTCTCCCTCCCGGTGGGATGGGGGAGAGAATCAGACAAGTAAAAGTGAGAAAACTCGTGGGTGGAGACAAAGACAGTTTAATAAGTAAAGCAAAAGCCATGCACGCAAACAAAGCAAAACATCGGCAGGCAGGTGTTCAGCCATCTCCAGGAAAACAGGGCTCCATCACACTAATGGTTACTTGGGAAGGCAAACTCCATAACTCCGAATGTCCCCCCCTTCCTTCTTCTTCTCCCAGCTTTATATGCTAAGCATGATGTCATATGGTATGGAATATCCCTTTGGTCAGTTGGGGTCAGCTGTCCCCTCCCAACTTCTTCTGAACTCCCAGCCTACTCGCTGGTGGGGTGGTGTAAGAAGCAGAAAAGGCCTTGACTCTGTGTAAGCACTGCTCAGCAGTAATGAAAACATCTCTGTATTATCAACACTGTTTTCAGCACAAATCCAAAACATAGCCCCGTACTATCTATTATAAAGAAAATTAACTCTATCCCAGCCAAACCCAGCACATCAGTGAATCACTGCACATATCTAGAATAATACACTGATGTGCTGTTTAAATACAACTAAAGCTGTTTCCTTTGCTTGCAGAAAAATGACAGTTTAGGCCATCAAGGATTCTGTTTAGAAGACTTTTGATGTAAATTGTTGGTAAGTCTGGGGCTCAAGGCATTGTCACATAAAGATGATCTAAATGTTGCTATGCATAGTGCTGAATTTTAGGTACCCTATGTAGGTATGTAAATCAGGGCGCCAGCCAACTCATGTTACCCATAAAGGCAAGTCAGATTCTATACCATCAGAATCAGAGTCTATACCATCTAAGTTTGACTTCTGGTTTTAGTTGCCCTGAGTAATTTCTCCTACTTATCTAGCCAACTGTTTTCCATATAATTTCCATGCTGCATTTACCTGAGAGACATGTCCCACCCTGAGGAAGGGGAGATATATAGTTATGAAGTACATTTTAAATAACCTCAAATCTTTCTCTGGTATTAATTATTTCGTAGGAGCCAGATTGGTACCTGGCAGCCAGCATGCACCAGGCACAGCTTTAGACTTCTGATTCAAAGTGAGAAAACCTGGGTTCTTCTGCTCCCTTCTTCACTGTTGAGTTTGGCCAAACCAAGACCTGTCTCTCAGCCTCTGTATCTGCAAATGGAGGGGATGACCCTGGGAGAGCTAGAAAAGCCTCTATAGGAACAAACAAGACAATATGTGTAAGCAAGAATGGCTTTTTTCCCCCTTTCTCATGTGTTAAAATGTAGATAAAATATTTCAC